TTTGGATCCATAGGTTTGTCCCCTTCACTTGCTCCAACAGGTAATAAATAGATGAGGAGGATGCCATAGATGGGGAGGATGCCAGCCTTGGTTCTGGGCCTGAGTGGTATCTGGGTTGGTCAGCCAGCCAGCTTTCCCTCATTATCACAACCTGGGCTAGCTTTTCAGCATTGCCTCAGGCTAGTGCACCCAATGTAGCTTGCAGTAAGGCACTGGGCCAGTTCTCCTGCTCTGGGGCCCTCAGATCTGGGTCACCCATACTCACACCACTAGGGCCAGCTCTACTGTTTTGTCCAGGCCAGGTGCAGGGCCCTCTTTCCCAATTGCTGTAGGGGGCATATGAGAGGGTGTTATGTGTGTGGGCTCAGCTGTGCTGCTCTTATGCCCTTAGGGACAGCTCAATGATCCCTGACAACAGGGTCAGTGTTAGTGTTCTTGGCTGGGGAGTTGTGAGGGATAAGGTGTGTATCACCCATGCCATCCTATGGCAGACGAGGGTCAGTTCTCCTGCTCTCTGCTCTCATACCCTCAGGGTTGGCTTACTTGTCTCTGACCCTAGTGTGCTGCCCAGGTCATATGCACGTCTGTGGTGAGGGGTAGAGCCATCCTTTCCTGAGTGTGTATGTTGGAGGAGGGTGGCTCAGAGGCAGCTCTTCCCTAAGGGTCAGGGCCAACTCTCCTGATACAGTATACAGTAAGGGGCAGGGCCAGCTATCCCAGGACCAGTGAAGGGCCAGGCTGGCTCAGTACAGCATGGTTCCAGTGACCCCCTATGCTAACATGGACCATTGACATCATCACAGAACCCCAGCTACAGCAGGAGCAGGGACCCAGACATGGCCCTCCATAGCAACTTGGATCCAGACCACACCATGGCCCCCTGTTGGCAGCACAGGCCACCCAGATCTGTATGACCCTGGTGGCATTGTGGCTCTTAGACAACAATACGGTCTTAGGGGTCTTAGGTGGCTGACCAGAAGACCCTGGTCATCTGCACAACCCTTGGTGGTAACCGAAGCCATGGACATCACCTTAGACCCTGGCTGCAGCAGGGCCATGGACCTAGACATGGCCCTAGGCTCAGATAGCAGCACAGTCCACCCAGATCAACAACATGCCACACGCCTGGCCTTTGATGTGGTTGTTAGGATCGGTGATCTACATGCTTGTACAGCAGGCACTTTTACCCTCTACGTCTTCTCTCCAGCTCCCCTACTTCAGTTTTGAGGTATAACTTGAGGTAATTCTAGGTTGCTTTTGTTTGTTTCTTAGATTTTTTTTGTTTTTGTTTGCTTCCTTTTCTTGTTGGCGTTTCCTTCTACTATGTCACTTATTCTGGTGGTTAGTTGCTGAGGAGACGTTGGATACAGTTCTTATCTTTGTCTCTCTGTAGGGAAGCTGTTTTTCCCTTTGGCTTCTTACAAGGTTTTTGCCCCCACCTCTTGATTTTCCATAGCTTTGCCTGGATAGTTTTTTTTTTTTTTTAATTTATTTTACCATTTTGCTTAATTTGGGGCAAATTTCTCTGGCTTTGTGTCCTGAGAGCTCCTGGGCTGTGACTTGGTATCTGACATTGACTTGGGGGAAGTTCTCCTTCATTGTCTGAGTACATCTCTGTTCCTTGCTTTTTTCCCCCTTGGGTGTTATCCTGCATGTTTTCACCCTTTGTACTTGTCTCTGTCTTCAGATATTCTGCTGTTATTTCCAGTTTTGATTCTTTGTCTTTGGTCTGGCAGTACCTTCTAGCCCATAGGTTCTTCCTGGAGTCAAGATAGGCATGCATTTCTGTTGGAGTGGGCTCACTTGATAGCTTTGCATTTGTCTTTTCTGCAGGACTTCTGGCTGTTTGGCCTCACATTGTTCATCTGGTTTTTTTTTTTTTTCCTTCAAGCTGTCTAGTAGCATATATACAAAGGGCTCTACTGGGTAAAGTATAGACTTTAATTCCCAATCAGGACATCCCTGTCATGTCTCTTCAGATTGTGTAGTTTATATTTTTTTCCCATGATGCTCTGTGCTACTGTGGAAAATTGAACTTCATGAAAGTATCTAGGGATCAGGTCTTAGCTGCTGAGCCAAAGGCCTGGGAAATGGATCTTTCAAATGCTTCTCAGCCTCTTGTCCACTCTTAGGAGAGACAGTGACTAGAGAGGCCTGAAGTTAGAGTTAAAATTAGGAAGGTAGAGCCAGGTAGATGGAGTTGGGTAGATGGAGTTCTGGACTTTCACCAGCCTAACCCAGCAGATTAGGCCTTGGTTAACAGAGTTTTCCTGGGAGCTGACCTTGTTAAGAAAGAGGTGCCCTGGTGACTTTCTTCGTTCTGCTAGAGGCAAAAGAGATAATTTCTCAGCTATTTCCTGCAGGACCCTGTCAGAACTCCTGGGGGTTAAGCCTGGTTATTACTTATGTGTGAGGATTCCTTCAGTCCACCATGCCTCTGTTCCCCTCTCTTCTAATCCCTCCATCTTTATTGCTGGAGGGCCTTGTACCTGCTATGCAAATATTTTGCTAATACACTACACCCCTGGCCCTTGCTTCCCTTCTTTTGAAGATAAGGTCTCTAGTCCAAGTTTGCTTGAATTCATGATCTTCCTGTTTCAGCTTCCTTAGAATGTATGACTAGGGATGATCTTTGAATAAGCAGAGGTTGAGGGTACAAGACCTGTACAAATACTAAAAGGGTAACATCCTTCAGGTGGAGGGTGGGATTAGAGTGGAGCAGGGAAGAGGGCTGTATTGATAGAAGGAGTTGTGGCTAGAGCTGCAGGCAAGGTGTACTGGGGTTTGGGTGAAAAAGAAAAGATTGATTGGCTCACAGATCCTATCAAATGGTAGAAACAATTTGAATGTGTACCAAGATGTACAGGGAGAAGACATGTATTGTGAGATAATGTTTTTTGCCTTAAACAAATTAGTGGTGATTCTGGCTGGTTACACTATGGACAGATTTGAGGCCAGTGTGCTAAGGGAAAAAGCCAGGGACAAAAAGACAGGTTGTAAGAGGTTTTTGCTTACAGCCAACATAGAAAACGGAGGGGATGTGGCTCCTGCTGCCTCCTCTTGTTCCTGCTCTCTCTCTCTCTCTCTCTCTCTCTCTCTCTCTCCTCTCTCTCTCTCTCTCTCTCTCTCTGTTTCTTTCTCTCTTTCATCATCATCACCATGGTAGGTATGGGTGCTCTGGAATGGATGGCCTAGTGTGACCTCTGGGGGACTTTTGGCAGGCTCCAGCCTGCATTAGCTACAAGTCATTGGTTGTAAACCTGAGAGGGAGTGGAGTTGCTTAAAAGCTTAGGCAGGCCCTATCCTTAATTCTTTGAATGGTCTGAAATAGACCGACTTAGCACAACTAATTTACTGGAACTACAAATTTTTAATTAAAACTCAGTATTTAACTGATTAGATTTTCTGGTAGAAAGCTTCAGTCTAAAAAAAAAAAAAAAAAAAAAAAAAAAATGAATCCAGCTTTGTTTCTCCTTCCTACCTACCTACCTACCTACCTACCTACCTACCTACCTACCTACCTCCCTACCTCTCTATCTATGTATGTATCTCTATCTAGTTTTGTTTTTAATTGAGGGCGGAAGTCCAGGTGAGGACAGAATAATTTAATCTGCTTGTAGAGACCCTTCCCACTTGCCTTTTGTTTGATTGAGGTAAAAGTACTCCACTCCACAAACAGTAAGCAGTCTGCAATGATATAGAGTCTTAGGCCCTTTTGGGCACTGAACATCTTGCCATTGTCTATCCCCAGTGACTCAGCAAAGTTCTGGACAGTTTATTCTGACCTATTTTTTCTAGTCTTAGTGTTGAAATACCGACCTCACTGCAGTTTGTGGTGGTGTGTTCCTTGGCGCTGATACTCCCAAAGCAATTGTCTTTCTGCCTCCTTCCTTCTCACTTTCTCTTTTTTTTGTTTTCTTTTCTCTTTCTTGTTTTTTTCCTCTCTCTTACTCTGTAAATTATGGAGATGTTTCTATAATCAAACCTAGAATGTAAACATTTCTAAATTATATATGTATAAAATACACAGCCACAAGTTTTGGGGTGCTTGGGTTGCAGTATGGGCAGTGCTTGGGCCTTTGTCTGCTCTTCTGATACACACATGCCTAAAATCCTAGTGCACTCTGAGATGGGTCTAGATTATAGTTTGAAAATTAAAGTTCTAAGGTAGCACTAGATATTTTCATAATCCTACTATGTACTGGGTTGGTCTTGAAATTGTAGATCCTCTTGCTAGGGTTATAGTGGCATGTCACCAAGCCTGGCCACTCTAAACAGATTTTTAAAATTATTTTAGAATTTCATATGTGAATACTCATTTAAAAAATTATATTCTTTAATTGAATTTTTCTAAGTTACAGTAAACATGTGCTCCGGTTAATCCCGGACTTAGCTTACACACTGTGAAGGCCTTACCTAATCAAGGTTCTGATCTAGCCCTCTTTCCATGGTTCCAGGGCCTTTGTGGAGTCACTTTCTTCCCTTCCAGGGCCTCTTGCATGCTAGACAAGTGCTCCCCTTAGCAGCACCCCCAGCCTTATGCATTGATTTCCTTTTCCTCTGCTTCTGTTTATTCCCAGATGTCATCTAAATAGAGTGATAGTCTGACTTTCAAGTCAGGTTTCTTTCACTTTGCAAATGGACATGAATACTATACATGCTGTATCTGAATATCGAACTTTAACATGATCCTTTTTACATACAATACAATACAATACTGGACACCTAAAATAAAAATAAATCTTTTAAATGATTCCCCTTTAAACCAGAAGATTCTACTTGTGCCTTTTTTGGGATCCCACTAGGTTTCTCTCTGTTCTTTATTTTGAAATTGATGCTGTTCCAGAGCTCTGGAAGCCTGGAACAACAAAGAGACAGTGCTGTGCAGGTAATCTGCTGAGCCAAAGTGGCCTTTCCCTGTGTCCAGGGCCTGCCATGCACACTGACCGTTGAATGCTGCTCAGAGTGACCTTTGTTGTGGGTTCTCTGTATTCCTCCAGGCTCATCAAATTCAAGAGATGTTCCCCCAGGTTCCATACCACCTTGTGCTCCAGGACCTCCAGATGACACGCTCTGTGGAAATAACAACAGACAACATCTTAGAAGGACGGATTCAAGTACCTTTTCCCACACAGGTAGAACTGGGGATTTATACATGACAAATGTATTTTTTTAAACCAAGATTTAATTCTAATACCTAGATATTACTTAACTATTTGAGGAAGGGTTTCTATAACCTTCATTTTTAAAACTTGGTGTTGTTCAAATCCTGCATGAGAACAAACCCACTAACGATAAATACAGATAATGTGAATAATTTTTGTACAGATCAGCCTGCCCTTGCTGCACACCTGGAAGGAGTTGCATTGTCTTCTGTCAGATTGATATCTGTTTCTGTCAAGAGCAAAGAATGAATATGTAGTCTCCACTTGTTCCAGTTTGCAACTAAAGCAGCCACTGGCTACGAGTATGAGAATGAGCAAGGTTGTCATCCAGAGTGAAGATTGTGGTCCAGTAAAACATTATTGTAGAAATAGATGGGAGGGGTGAACATGAGCCTCAGGCTGTGGTTTATGGATCCCTGGACTGGGGAGTGAGGCTGATTTTGTACATTGTATTGCCGGTGTCTATCAGGTATAGTTCACATCCCTCTGAAGCTTGGATTTTGGACTCAGAGTTCCTGCCTCATCATTTGGCTTCTGATGGGCACAAAAAGGGATGTATATGGACAAGACCCAGAGCAACCCTGGAGACTGGAGCTTAACTGTAGTGCCTGCATCATAGCTCATTAAGAAAGTTAATGAGAAAACCAAAAACAGGGCTTACTTGGCACAGTTGACTTTTGGCCATTGCTATTATTGAATGGGAAGCTGAATATGGAACACTTTGCTAACCACTCTCAAACATGGAACTCTTATGTGAGCCTCTGAGTCCTTGTGTCACCTTCCAAGCTGTGAGCTGTGTTGAGAACTGTTGTGCCTTCCGTTCTTGGGTTTTCCTATGCCTGTTCCTTCTTTCTGACTGATTGCTGTGTTTGCTTTCAGCGGTCAGATAGCCTGAGGCCTGCACTGAACAGCCCAGTGGAAAGACCAGGAACTGATCAGGAGGAGGGAGCAGCTTCTGTTCAGGTGAGGTCAGCTCACTAGGAGCTATAGACCTTAGTGTGGCCCTGGGTGGTAGTTCCATTTACCCTGCTGTTGGCAGCAACAGCTTAAGGGAGAAGCTGGTTATTTTTTGGCTGATGGTTTGAGAGGGTTTCAGTCTATCATAGTGGAGAAGGTGGGGTTGGAGTGGTTGAGCGACAGAATCTTGTGATGGAGGAAATTGATATTACCACAGGCTAGGAAGCAGTGAGCAAGGCAGAAATGGGCTAGATATCATCTGCTAATTTACCTGCTAGGCCCCACTGTTAGAGTTAACATTTTCATATCCACATCTGTGACTGGAGCAGGCCATAGTAGTGCATTATAACCTCAGTCCTTAGGACCCTGTGGCTGGAGTTAGCATAAAAGGTTCTGAAAATATATTTTTTAATGTAATGAAAGCAAAGAGTTTATAGGAACTTTACCATGCACAAGGAAATGCAAAGTCCTTGGCTAATAGTTCATTAAAATGTCAATCTGATAGGTGGCTATGACCATAACTTGACCAGATTAATTATACTTGCTTAATTATACATTACCTTTTGCCTTCTGTTTAAACCTAAAACTCACATATTATCAATATTTTTAGTTTAAATAAAGAAGCTACTCTGACTACTGCTGAATTTCACCTGAAGTAAAAACTATTCTGTAATAACTGTATCTATTGTAGTGTATCACTGTAGCTTCATGTGTCATGAAGTATTCTGTATCTGGCCAGGATAATGTAGAGGCAACACTTTTTTAATGATAACATAAGTCTAATGGATATAAACTCTCAAATAAACTTATTTTTCCCCATCACACCCCCCAAAAAAAACCCCTAAAACTCAGTACTGCAAAGGTGGGTGTGGGGTTACTGAGCCCCTTCTTGGTCAGTTCCTCTTTCCAGTGTAGCTAACCAAACCACTAAAACAAAATCAAAAGCAAGATGACCCCTCCAGCCTGCCTTAGTAGTAGTAGTTATTTGCTTTGTGGGTGGTGGCGAGTCTGTCCGAATGTCCCAGCATCGAGTGAGACTTGGAGGACACAACAGGGCAGGGCTGAAGCAAACTAGATGGGCTTTGCCTTGTTTTCTTTTCTCTTGACCCCTAGTGACTAGCTGCTCTCTTTAGCCCTCTTGAAGGGTTAGAGTGAGCTTTGTGACTGTCTCTGTATTGATGTTAATTCTCACTGCCCTAGATAGGCCAGAACCCTCAAACATACTTGGTTTGCATTTGTGTTAGCCCTTTATGAACATCTCTGCCTCTGCCCTGAGCAGTTCACCCCTCCAGAGATCCTTCTGGGCAAGCTGGTTCCCTTCTGGAGAGCTGTCACCTGAACTCTGAGATGTGTGTTGCCTGTTGTCATCAGGTGTTACACTTGCTCCCATCATAACCCCCAGCCGTTTGCTGCAGCCAGTTCCCTTTAGATTGTAGCTGTCAACTTCCAGTGGGTATGATTGAGGCTGCCCTCATGGCACTTTCATCTTACAGTTGAATAATACCCTTTGTTTATTCCTTTATCTGTTAATGGGTATCTAGGCTCCCTCTCTCTCTCTCTAGTCTCTCCCTCTCGCTCCCTCCCTCCCTCACCTCCCCCCAATCTTGTATTCTTGGTGATGAAACTCAAGGCCTCCCACATGCTAGCTAAGCCCTCCTCTGACTTCCACCCTCAGCTGTTTTTCCCCTATGTGGAGACAGAGATTCAGACTTACCATGTGAGTCATGTTCCATATGGCTGTCTTCAGATCTACTCTTGGGCTTGGCTGAAGGCATAGAGAAGCATAAGGGTGGGAGACAAACATGTACTCACAGTGGAAACACATGAAATAGACTTTCACCTCTGTTGTGGCCTAGAGGTGGGTGGTGGGCTGGCTCTGGCCATATAAGTCTTAAGTCTGGGGCAGTGTAGGTGGATTGTACCTGCTTAAGGATGGTTGGATATCTGGGCAGTGTCTTGGCTTTTGGAGCTTCAGCCCAAACCAGGAAAGTACTTTGTTACCCTTCAATCTGCTGGATCTGTTTCCACAAAAGATCTTAATGTGACTATTTTCAACTCAAGGATACAAATTTCATGCAGCAGATAAGACTGGTTATAAATGGTTAATGACCACAATCAATTTTTTTAAAGGTAAAAAGGGGATTATGTATAGATATGAATACTTTGCTTTGGAATGGATTTTCATTTATTGATACAATTTAAGGTCAATTTTTGGATATGTATATTTCTCTTGTTTAGGTATTGTGTTTATTGGCTCATTTAGAAATGTAATGTATAATTTAGTACAGATTTTAGATAGTTACCTATATTAGTCAAAACTTATAGTTAAGTTAGGTTTTTAAGATATACAGAGATGTATTTGAGATGGATAGGCATTCTTCAAATCTTTCAAAGACCTACAGAATATGGCATGTAAAATGGTTTAGGGTTTTTCTTAACAGTGAGGCACAACTCCTCCTGGCAACACCACCTTCATCAGAAAGGAAGATGGACATTGAAGAAACGTGTTATGGAGTTGACTTCCAATATGTCAAGACTAGCAATTTGGACAAGATACTGCTCTTGTCTGGACTGTTTGACTTTATGCTGTATAAACTGGACATGCAGAACCCACAAGAAAGTGACTGCTAATACAAGATGGACATTGCAACAGGGTTCCTGCTTCATGGAAGAATCTGCCAGACATTCTACAGGACACAGAGAAAAATGACTGACAAACTGCCAATACAGGTAGACAGTTTAAAGTTGCCTGCTTTTCTGAGGAGTCTGCCAGACACACTATGGCCTATAGGCTGAAGATGGAACATTACAGAACTTTGGGTGACTGACCAAGCAGTGAGTTGTCTCTGTCATTTCTAGAGTTTATATATTATCCTTCTGTGGTCTTTGAAGGAGTTGAAGACAAATAGTTATGGTTATAGTTTTCCTCAGTTAGGATTAAAGATAAGTTACTTATAGGATTTTAGACTTACAAGATAGGATAGATGATGAAATATTTTCTTTAAATCTTACTAAATGTTAATGGACTGGACATTGTTAACTATGGTTCTCATTTGTTAACTGTTTTGTTATATATTTTACTATGTTAAAGTTAAAACCCTTCTTTATATTTTAGACAGAAAAGAGGAGATGATGGGAGATGTCATTCTGTAAATATGTTTCTCATATTGGTTAATGAATAAAGCACTGTTGGCCAATAGGAAAGCAAGATAGGTGGAACTAGGAGACAAGGAGGATTCCAGGAAGTAGTAGGGAGGAGTCAACATGGAGAGACTGGAGAGAGCAGAATGCCAGCCCCTCTCTCCGGTAAGATGAGACCACGTGGAAATAGATTAATAGACATAGGTTAATATTTAAGACAGAGCTAGCCAATAAGAAACTAGTAACTGGCCTACAGCTTTATATTAAAAAAAAAAAAAAAAAAAAAAAAAGACTTGTTTAAATTCTTTGGGTGGTGCTGATACACGCCCAGCACGACAGGCAGGCAGATCTCAGTTCAAGGCCAGCCTGGACTACAAAAGGGAGTTCCAGGACAACCAGAACCACACAGAAAAACTCTGTCATGAAAAAAACAAAGCAAAACAACCCCCTCCCCAAAATACTTGTTTAAATTCTTAAGCACTTGGGAGAACTGAAAAGAAAAATTTTAGAATGGTAACTAGTGGTTTGTTTATATTGTTCTGTTCCAAGAGTGCAGGTTGGAAGTGCATATTGTATTTCTCATAATGGCCTCCATTTACTTACTCCACTCACATGAGTTGTCATGTGAGCGATGACAGCTGGCATCCCTCCCCAGAGCCCAAGTCTCCTGCTTGGGATTCCTGTCTGGCAGAAGGCCCCAGTGGTCCAGCAGAGTCTTGGGCTGAGATGCCCTGGCAAGGGAGGAAGCTGCCTGGAAGGGAAAGGCCTGTGCTCACAGCTCCCTCTCTGTCCAGACGGAGCGTGTACCACTGGACCTCAGTCCTCGACTAGAGGAGACCTTGGACTTCAGTGAGGTAGAAGTGGAGCCCAGTGAGGTGGAAGACTTTGAAGCCCGGGGGAGCCGCTTCTCCAAGTCTGCTGACGAGAGACAGCGCATGTTAGTCCAGCGCAAGGATGACCTCCTGCAGCAAGCTCGGAAGTGAGTTTACTCCCCAATCCTAGTCAGCATACATGAATTACAGCTGAGATGGCAACTTGGTGCCAATGTTCTCGGCCCTACACGTGAATCAGCCTTTCTTCTTTCTGGTTCTGAGAAGGGGCACTATTGATCCATGTGACAGACGTACAGATAAGAAACCGACACCCAGGGTGGTAATCCTGTCAGGACCTGGGGTCTGCCTGTAGGATTCCTTGGCTGCTCTGCCTCAGCCAGCATTGAGAACAGAGCACCTGTGTTCCATGAGTTCCCCCACAGTTGGTGGCAGCTGGGGCACAGTCTTCCTTTGGGTCAGTAGAATCTTAGTTCAGTTCTTGAGGACAGGGCCAGCATTATTCAACCAGGTGGGTTTGTGCCTTGCACAGACCTGTCCCTCTAAGACTCCATGCTGTGTCTATGGGAAGGGACTAGGCAGACGAGAGATAGACCTTTCCCTGGGAATTAGCCTCATCCTTTGAAGAGTCTGCTCTGTCCTCCCCTCCCTGCTTCTCCCCTGTTCATTCAGGTTGGCCCTTCTTTCTCTCTTTTCTCCTTTTACAGCTTTGGAAGAGTCTGCTCTGTCCTCCCCTCCCTGCATCTCCCCTGTTCATTCAGGTTGGCCCTTCTTTCTCTCTGTTCTCCTTTTACAGCTTTGGGTTGAGCCCAAGGCCTCACACATATTGAGCAAGTACCTGCTGCTGAGCTGCCCTGCCCTCAGCCCACAGGCAAGGGCATTTTCATCATGGGATGATCTTGAGTGACAACTTTGTGAAGGTTCCTGTGGAGAAGGGGAAACTGACAGCAGTGTTCTGCAGATCTTCCCATTTCTTATCTTTCTCTTGTGTCTTTTTCACTTCTTACAGGCGGTTCCTGAACAAAAGTTCTGAAGATGACATGGCCTCAGAGAGACTCTTCCCCTCTGAAGGCACATCCTCTGACCCAGTGACCCTGCGCCGGAGGATGCTGGCAGCTGCTGCTGAGCGGAGACTTCAGAGGCAGCAGACGACCTAGTGCTTCCTCATCTTCCTCAGCCTCCTGTCCAGCCCTACATACCGGAAGAGGCCTGTCCTGGTTTTGCCTGCTGTGTGGAGATCCGCGACTGCATCGGCGCTGCATAAAGCATGTGGTCTTCATAGTGTGTGGACAGCTGACAACTTTAATCCTTGTAATACTTTCTATGTGGCATTTCTCTTCCCCTTAGAAACACTGCACATTTGAACTCTAGGCATGACCTCTTCTGGTGTTGACTGGACTTCTTGGGAGTGGGGACAAGCAAAAGGAAGTGGGCACTTGGGCACTCACTTGCCTGCAGCAGGTAGTTTTAATTTCTGCTTTGGTATAAGCCATGGCAGATGTTAGTGTCTTTAGAGCCACAACTGGAAGGAAGTGTGGGTCCTGGGGAGGGTGTATCACAGCAGCCAGGAGGTGTACAACAGGAGTCTGACTACATCTTGACAAACTATCGTGTTGTAAATGCTGTGCTAAGGGAGGAAGCATCCACAGTGTTGCAGAGGTCAGTCCCACAGGCTCCTGGACCTCTAGACCAGCAGGGCATCATGTATAAAGAACTAATTGGTACCTGGAGCAGAAAGGGAAAGTTCAGGGCTGCCGAAGGAGGAGACCCTTTTCTGCCCTTCCTATTGAGGACCGACCTGAGCCCCGATCCACACCTGGCTTCATTTCTGTTCACTCTGGTGCTCCCGCATCACATGAGCTTGCCCCTCCTTTTTCTTCCTACTCCCTGCTTACCCTAGGCATGGGAAGGGGTGAGCAGCAAGCTTGGTTATGGTTTTAATTCCTTGGTCAACCCTGTTAGGCTATGCTAAACATGTATGGGTTTGATCCTTGGATAGGTGTGCACCTGCAAGGCAGGGATGTTTTAGAGGGCATTGCTGAAGAAGTACCATATGTATCTTTCTCCCCCAGAGCCCTTCATTTCCCTGCTTTTGTTCCTGTGGGTCTCATTAAACAGAAAGGGAAGATGTTGGATAATCCACATGCCTCAAGCAGACTTGGTCCTGGATTTTCTCAAATTCTCCACGTATTTAAGGATTTGAAACACGCAATCATAGGTTACATAGTTTTATGTCCCATTGAATTTTTTTTTAATGTTTCAAAACATAGTTTTATGGTAGTCCTTTTGGGAAGAATCCAGTATTATCTAAAATTATTGGCAAAGTTAAATGTATTTTACATACCTGAAAGTTTTTAGAATGTTGACAAGTAATGGAAGAAAGGGTAATAGGTGAATAGGCAAAGTAATTTATTTCAATAAATCTTCCAAAAGCCTTACCTCGAACTGCTGTTAGTTCAATTCCTGTTTTTTTTTTTAATCTGTTTTGCTGAGAGCATAGCGATTTGTTTTTATTGTAAAGCAACAATAATAAAAAGCAACCTCTTGTAGTGTGTTGTGTATGGTTGGAAGCTGTGGTAGCACTCTTCCAAGGGGCCACACAAATCCCATTCTGCTTTTGTGTCTAGTCTACTCTTGGGGGTTTGGGTGTTTTATAATCCTTTTGAACTTGGTGGAGTTGGGCTGTTTCTCCTAGTGTTTTATTTGGAGAAGACAGCACTGAGCTTCTCTCTGCCTGGTTTCATGCTATCTTTCCATGCTGCACGTGAAAATAAAAGGGGAAGCAAATCCTACATACTACATTATAGTGTGTGAAGGTGGAAACTAAGGATAGTCAGTTTCAGAGGGTCTTGAATGTCGTAAACAGTAGTGATAATAAGCAGAAGTGCTTTCATATAGCTTAAGATGATCCAGAGAAGTCCCAAGTACGTGCTTGACTTGTCCCCTCTGTAGATAGCGTGATCAAAGGGAAGTTGGTAGAGAACTATCTGGTTAGTCAAGGATTCTGGGTGCTATAGAAAGCTTCTGGTTTTTATCACTTGGGAACATTAGACAGGTGCTAAGCAAAGGCACTGGTGGTGAGACTGGGTAGCTCTCCATTGCTTTCACTGTCCTCTAGCAGCCAGGTCATTGGCCCTGCAGCTCAGCTCTGGAGCAGCAAACCTCCAAGGAGCTGGGAAGTTTTGGAACTAGTCTTTAGTCCTCTGTTTTCCTCATTGGTCATATTTGATTTTTATCTTCTTGGGTCCTTAATTTTTTTTTCCTTTAAAATGTGAGGCTTTTATGTAGCAGAGAGAATGATTGTGCAAATTTAACGGTGTTGGTGTGACCCTTGAGTGCTCTGGTAACCTGAACCTGACCTTCCCTAGAGCAGTGTAGAGAATGCTCTTCAGTTTGCAGCTAGTTTGAGATTTTAGGCAACTGATTCTGTGAGCTCTTTGGGAGCTGGGCACACACAAATGGGAGGCTTGTTAAGGAGCTGTGTCTGTCCGCCTGGGAAGGCTCCCTTCCAACCTTAAGGTCTGTTTCCCACCTTTGCTTTCCATTGGGTTTGAAGTGGTTCTGGCCCTGCCTGTACATGGAGTTTGTATGTTTTTGTTTTGTTTTGAAGGTGTATAGGTTCTGCCCCCATATTTCTTATACTAAACCTTTCTGTCCCTATCCTTTCCAAAAACTGCTTTCTGGCCCTTCTCTTAAGAAAGAGGACTGTGTTGGGGTGTAGCATACTGAGGAGAGACTTGTCTAGCATGCATGACATCCTGGATTCCATGTGCAGCACTAGGGAAAATAGAAAAATACTGTTAAGTTTAAAACAATGGCTCTTTTATCTCTCTGCAAAATCCACCTGCAGGTTGGAAAGCTGGTAGAGAACATAGTAGAATGAAACTCATTTGGAGAGAAATTGAGACCTGTCAGGATCAGGGCTTGTTTTTCTTCAACCTTTCATTGGGATCTTGGTTTATCCTCTGGTATAGCAGTTAAGGTGTAGATTGGGTGTAGGTTGTTTGGGGCCCTCTGTAGACAGCAACCTGGGATGAATGGAATTGGTAAGGAAAGCACTGGAAATGAGGTGTGGCTTGGCAGAAGGAGTTTCAGGGGGTGTCTGCATTTACTAAGTATTCAGTATGATGACAGGAGACAGGACTGTTAGCCTTGGCCTGAAACAGTATCACAATGCTGGATCCAAACAACCAAAGGCATGCACTGTGTGTCAGGGAGAGGCTTTTCTGAGCTGAGGATTTCCATGTGGGGTGCTGTTAGGAGATGTGACTAAGCAGACCCCTGTAAGCACCCCCCCCACACACACACACACACTGCATTACAGACACAGAGCCTGCTATTAACTGCTGGCTTAATGGCTGGCCTGCCATGTGAGGCATTTTGGTAGGTCCAGACTCAATCTATTTGCTAGTTCTTATGCAAAGCCACGGTTGTTAAGAGGGTATAGTGAGAGTAACAGCTGAAGAGCTCAGACTCTGAGAGCCAGGCTGTGTTGTCTTGCTTCTCATGTGTTCCATGCGCTGAGTGTCCTGTGCCCAGCTGCAGTAGGACAAGCAAAGCAAAAGGAACCCTCCCAAGAGGCTTTGGTATGGAAGGCTGTGGCGGTTTGGCCTTCTTGGAGGGAAAGCCCTGGGCACAGGAGACAGGAGAAGGGTGTGGCTTGTTTTTTCCCTCCAATTTTCCTGCCCAGTCTCAGGCCCATCAGAAGCACAAAAAAAGCAGCTAAACTGAAGGCATTGCAGCCAGAAAGAAGCTGCCCAACTCCCTGCTCTCATTCCTCTGTGTGTGTGGGTGGCGGGGAGGGGTGGGAGGAAAGACAGGCAGGCAGCTTTCCCAATCACTGCTCTGAACTGGCTGCCCTTGGTGACAAAATGTTGAGGGACCTGGAAGATCATGTGGAAAGATTCCTTACCACCCCTCCCCCCAGGGTGTGTGGCCAAGTGTCTCCTTTGCTTTCAGAGCCAAGCTCGCCCTGGGAACCGTCGTCTGGAAGGCAGAAGGTGAGACTCAGTACAGACAAACATTCTCTTTATTGAGCTACACATGAATTTCCATTAGAGAAGTAGGCTGGCAGTGTCAGGTGTCACAGAGACCCCACCGATTGGGAATAGAAAGGCTTACAAAGACCCGCGGGCTTTTGATTTATTTTTTTTAACTTTTTTTCCTTTTTTCAGGTTTTTTTTCTGTATTTTTAATTTTTTTGTGTTTTGTCTTTTTGCCTCCTTTACTGAAATGGCTGTGACTGGTCTTCAGCAAATATTGTCTTAAAAGTGAAACTGTGAACAGGTCTGGGATTTAGATACTAGTCAAGTAGAAATGACATAGGACTGATCATGAAAACTGGCTTTAATGTAAACACTACATTCCATCTTAATTTTTTTTTTGTTTTTCTTCCATCTTGTGGTATTTAAAAACTTTTTTATTTATTCATTTTTTTTTGTTCTTTTTATCTGCATCACAAACATCCCAACATGAGAGAGAGAGCGAACACAGGTCACTGGGACAGAGAGAGGAAAGGTAGAGAGGGTACACATGAGGGAGGGCTTCTGCCCAAGGCTGGAGGCTGTGGTGTTAAAGGAAAAAAAAAAAAGAAAACTCCGAAAACCACACAACCCCATTCCCCAGGTACCGTCATATATTTCATGGGAAGTATTCATTAGGACAAAAAAAAAAAAAAAAAAAAAAACCCAGAACGTAATCACACAAAGGGAGTGTGGGAAGGGGCGGGGTTGCTTGCTTACATAGGGCTCGGTTTCCATAGATGATGGGTGTTCTCTGTGGCAGCTACCCGCCAGAGCTGTGCTTTTGCTATGCGACTTGGAGTGAGTGTGTTTGAAGTTGCGTGGGTGGGCAGGGCAGAGCTGCCACTGCCTGGTGGCATAGGAGGTGTTGGGGCAGCCAACAGGCATGGGGTGTACAGCGGCCAGCTGCTTTCTAGAAAGCCTGGCCTGGCTTTTCCCACCAGTCATGGGCTGCACAGAAGCCCTGGGAGGTGCCAGGCCCAGCACTGCTGCTAAATGCCGGCCTCAATCGGAGCTGGGATGGGGAGGGTATGGGTGCTGATGTGTTTGGTTTTTTATTTCAAAATAAAAGGAAATATGGATGAAATGATGAGTTTTCCATTTTTCTTGTTTAAAGCTACAAAGCACATGAGAAATGTTCTTTTTAAAATCCTTTCAAGTTCTAAATGTAAAGACTCAACTAAAACCGGATTCTACAGCATTCTACAGAAATACACAGCCGTCAGTCACTCTGGGGTCGTAGGTTAGACAGGGGCTTGGTACAGAAAGGCTGTGTGTCTTACAAAGGCCAAAGGTCATGCTACCAGGAGATCAACATCAACAGCAAAGAGTCCATGAAGCAGTCTGTAGAGAGAGAGATAGGGCCGGTCTGACCATTTTCTTCGACTTAAGAACCAATCAACCAACAAACCCTAGAACACTTTAACTAATACGGAGGGGGGTAGGGTGCCCTGTGTCTGGCCCCGCCTGCCAGTCCAGCCCCCACCCCAGCCACTCTCATCTCGTCCACCAGCCCTCTTTGAGGGAATCTGACTTTCATTCTGTTAGGTGGGTCTGGGCAATGGCTTGTGTTTCCTCCCATTAGCTATTTGAAAAAGCAGACCAGGCCTCCCATGTCTCTAATATTTCTCTGTTCCCATAAATAAAGAAATCTCAGGAGCCAGTGGATTGATTGGAGCAATGATTCTTCTAAATTCTTGAAATAAACAACCCCCCCCCAAAAGATAAGGGTCTTTAGAGTTCTCTGTTGTGGCTGGAGGGTAGGGGGATGTTTAAAGTGCTGACCATTTCTTAAAGGGTTTTGCAAATTGAGCCAGGGGCAGGGCAGAGCTGAACAGGCAGCCTCATGGTAGGATGTAGAGTGGGGCAGGGCAGGATGGACAGAACCAGGCCTCCCTCTGCCTGCCCTGCTCGGAGTGGGTCTTGGAAAGTAAAACCCTGGGCTGTCCGGAGGATTCCCAACCCAGACTTCCACCATGCCGTGTGTGTGTGTGTGAGTGTGTGCACACACACATGTGCACACACATGTGCTCCCAGGCTTCTACCTTACCCTCTCTGTGCATGCACATGTGTGCACACACACATGCACCCAGGCTCCCACCATGTCCTGTGTGTGTGCACACATGTGTGCATGCTCGTGTGATGTCCCAGGAAAACTGATGAGCTAGGGATGGTGGTCAATTCTGTCCATAGCTCTTCTGAGTATTAACTAAAAACATTTTTCTAATATATACTTGTATATAGATAAGGTTTTTGTTATGCCTCTGTTTATTTACCAACTTGCACTGGTTAGTGGTATGTGTGTGTCTGTGTGTTTGTGTGTGTACGCAAGCTGTTCTGTGAGTGCTGGAATCATTACCAAATAGGTTGCTATACAGGACAAGAGGTCAGTACAAGCCGCAGCCCCGGAGATTGTTGGCAATG